GACTGGGGTTTGCGCGCCGTCCCGGCCCCAAGTGGCCCAGGATACGGCGCGCTTCTTATCCCACGTATCCCGGTTGGGCCTAACAGTGAACACCGGAAGAGTTGCCTGGACCCTTCCCAACAGGTCACTTACCTGGGGATGGTCCTAGATTCGGTCGCCATAAGTGCCTACCTGACACCTCGTCGTGTGGACGACATTTCCCACCATCTTCCCATCTTCAGACTGGGCAAGAGGGTGCCTTACATCCAGTTCCTCCGGCTCTTAGGCAGACTAACGGCTGCCTCAACCACCAGGGGGGCACCAGGTCCGCACAGCTCCTCCGTGTTTCACAGAGCCTCTTGCCTTGGGCACTCCCCCGCAGGGCCGTGGGAAGTAGGGGTGCTGGGGGTGCTGCAGCACCCCCTGGTGGAGGGCAGCGGATCTGCACTTCCACAAGATGAAATACAAATATAATACAAAAAAAACGAATTTTCAGCCTTGATGTAACAACATTCATAATTAAGTAAAGATAACACCCTTTTCACCCCGGTTACATTTTCCATTTGCCCTGTACGATGGGTGATGAAAGTGGGGGATGTTGGCTTATCAGGCGCCCGCAGCTCACAGCCTGAGTGAGAGAGAGAAATAGATAGATAGATGGAGAGAGGGGGTGCACCGGTACCGGCGGGGAATGTTGTTAGCTTCTGCTGCGCTAACGGATATAAGAAGCTGTTTCTACAATAATGTGGAGGGAGAGTTCTGTCCTGTCAGACTGAGAGGCTCAGTCAGGTAAAGGACCCTTGAGTGTTTAGATAGTTCACTTTAGTCTAAGTTGTCTCAGTGGGTCTCAAACGTTTTGATCACAATTTATGTAAACAAATATTTATAATAAGGCACACCTTTTGTAATTATTAGGATAAATAAAACCAGGCCCTCTGGCCGAATGTGGCGTTCCTGCCCAAGGTGCTTCCACTAGCCCACTCCAATCGGCCTATCCAGCTGGCACGCTTTAACATTCCACAGGAGAGCAGCACGCCTGAGTTGCTGTGCCCTGTGCGTGCCTTAAGGGCGTATATCGATGATACGGCCTGTATACGGCAGTCAGAGCAGCTCTTCGTTTGCCATGGCGGCACTAGGAAGGGTCGTGCTCTCTCTAAACAGCGGCTGTCCCACTGGGTGGTTGATACCATCACACATGCCTATGGGGCCAGTGGCCGCCCCCTGCCATCAGGGGTGAGATGCCACTCTACAAGAAGCATCTCAACATCGTGGGCTGCCCTAAGAGGGGTGCCCCTGGAGACCATCTGCGCCGCGGCGTCGTGGGTGTCTTCTGGCACATTCTCCAGGTTCTACCGGGTCAATGTCGCCACTCCCCACCCTCTGGGTGTGGTCCTATTGCCAAGCTCTGCTGCTTCCAGCTAGGTGAGTAAGTGCTTGGATTCTTCATGACATGGTTGGTATAGGTCATCCAGTGCTAAAGCACCGCCTCTGGCGGTCAGTAGGGACGAAATAGAACGATAGTTACGGCTGTAACTACGGTTCTACGAGTCCCGGATGACCGCCAGAGTTTCCTGTCACTCCGAATTCTTGTGTGCTCGCGAGAAGATTCTGGGAACAGATCCTCTGACGACACCGGCTGATATAGCCGGTGTCACGTGGGTCACAGGTGACTTTGTTGTTATTGGTACTCGAGCTGTGCATGCGCGTGATGGACATATCCAGTGCTAAAGCACCGCCTCTGGCGGTCATCCGGGACTCATAGAACCATAGTTACAACCGTAACTATCGTTCCTGCAGCTCACTCTTTGTGTTTCCGATCCTCAGAGGGCGACGAGGACTATGACGACGACTTCAACAGGTGAGACTTCAGTGTTAGTTTGCATTGTGCTTTGCCTTCCTGAACAACCCTGTGATGGTTTATTCATTACGTTATTCTCTGTGTCCTCGTTATGAATCTGAAACATCTCTCAGTCAAACATCGAAAGGACTTCTTTGATAATTAGTTTTACAAACGTTGGAATAAATTGAGATCTTTGTGTTTGTGAGCGGTTAAATAATAAATACTAATTTCCTGTCTGTGTTCCCGGCTCCTGGAGGGGAGGTATAGTTTATTCCCACTATGAGTAACACACTGAATGTGTGACAGCGCCCCTTACAGGCTGCAGGGTTCACTACAGCCTCAAACCTGAACCACAGCTAACGTGTACAGTGTGTCCTGAAGGTGGCACAGAACTCTTTAAATGAGGATATAGAAGAGTTCTAGAGAGTTAATGCAGTTTGTCTGTTGCAGCCATCGCTCAGATCTGTCCAGGAGCGAGCTGAGCATCGGAGAGGAGATCGAGGAGGTGTCCATCGAGGGCCCGGAGAACAGCGACAAGGTGATACTCCTCCACCTGCACCACCTCAAATGCACACTACAGTCCTATAGTAACAGTTACTGTCCAATAGCAACAGTTACTGTCCAATAGGAACAGTTACAGTCCAATAGGAACAGTTATAGTCCAATAGGAACAGTTACAGTCCAATAGGAACAGTTATAGTCCAATAGGAACAATGACAGTCCAATAGCAACAGTTACTGTCCAATAGGAACAGTTACTGTCCAATAGGAACAGTTATAGTCCAATAGGAACAATAACAGTCTAATAGGAACAGTTACAGTCCAATAGGAACCATGACAGTCCAATAGGAACAGTGACAGTCCAATAGGAACAGTTACTGTCCAATAGGAACAGTGACAGTCCAATAGGAACAGTGACAGTCCAATAGGAACAGTTACTGTCCAATAGGAACAGTTATAGTCCAATAGGAACAATGACAGTCTAATAGGAACAGTGACAGTCCAATAGGGACAGTTACAGTCCAATAGGAACAGTGACAGTCCAATAGGAACAGTTACAGTCCAATAGGAACAGTTACTGTCCAATAGGAACAATGACAGTCCAATAGGAACAGTGACAGTCCAATAGGAACAGTGACAGTCCAATAGGAACAGTGACAGTCCAATAGGAACAGTTACTGTCCAATAGGAACAGTGACAGTCCAATAGGAACAGTGACAGTCCAATAGGAATAGTGACAGTCCAATAGGAACAGTGACAGTCCAATAGGAACAGTAACAGTCCAATAGGAACAGTTACAGTCCAATAGGAACAGTTAAAGTCCAATAGGAACAATGACAGTCCAATAGGAACAGTTACTGTCCAATAGGAACATTTACAGTCCAATAGGAACAGTTACTGTCGAATAGGAACAGTGACAGTCCAATAGGAACAATTACAGTCCAATAGGAACAGTTACAGTCCAATAGGAACAGTTACAGTCCAATAGGAACAGTAACAGTCCAATAGGAACAGTTACAGTCCAATAGGAACAGTTACTGTCCAATAGGAACAGTTACAGTCCAATAGGAACCGTTACAGTCCAATAGGAACAGTGACAGTCCAATAGGAACAGTTATAGTCCAATAGGAACAGTTACTGTCCAATAGGAACAAGGAACAGTGACAGTCCAATAGGAACAGTTACAGTCCAATAGGGACAGTTACAGTCCAATAGTAACAGTTACAGTCCAATAGGAACAGTTACTGTCCAATAGGAACAGTTACAGTCCAATAGGAACAGTTACTGTCCAATAGGAACAGTTACAATCCAATAAGAACAGTTACAGTCCAATAGGAACAGTTACAGTCCAATAGGAACAGTTACTGTCCAATAGGAACAGTTACTGTCCAATAGGAACAGTTACAGTCCAATAGGAACAGTGACAGTCCAATAGGAACAGTTACAGTCTAATAGGAACAGTTACAGTCCAATAGGAACAGTTACAGTCTAATAGGAACAGTTACAGTCCAATAGGAACCATGACAGTCCAATAGGAACAGTGACAGTCCAATAGGAACAGTTACTGTCCAATAGGAACAGTGACAGTCCAATAGGAACAGTGACAGTCCAATAGGAACAGTGACAGTCCAATAGGAACAGTTGCAGTCCAATAGGAACCATGACAGTCCAATAGGAACAGTGACAGTCCAATAGGAACAGTGACTGTCCAATAGGAACAGTTACAGTCCAATAGGAACAGTTACTGTCCAATAGGAACAGTGACAGTCCAATAGGAACAGTGACAGTCCAATAGGAACAGTGACAGTCCAATAGGAACAGTGACAGTCCAATAGGAACAGTGACAGTCCAATAGGAACAGTTACAGTCCAATAGGAACAGTTACTGTCCAATAGGAACAGTTACTGTCCAATAGGAACAGTTACAGTCCAATAGTAACAGTTACAGTCCAATAGGAACAGTGACAGTCAAATAGGAACAGTTACAGTCCAATAGGAACAGTTACTGTCCAATAGGAACAGTTACATTACATTACATTGCATTTAGCTGACGCTTTTATCCAAAGCGACTTACAATAAGTACATTCGACCAGGAAGACACAACCTTGAAGAAAACAGAATCATAAAGTACATCAGGTTTCATAGAGCCAAACATTTCAAGTGCTACTCAACTGGCTTTAGGTGAGCCAGTCCTTTATTAGTATAAAAGTGCTTCGTTAATAGTTCTAACGTTCGAAGTGGAGTCGAAAGAGATGAGTTTTCAGTTTGCGCCGGAAGATATGCAAGCTATCTGCCGTCCTGATGTCAATGGGGAGCTCATTCCACCATCTTGGAGCCAGGACAGCAAACCCACGTGTTTTCGCCGATGGGAACTTGGGTCCCCCTCGCAGCGAGGGCGCAGCGAGTCGTTTGGCTGATGCAGAGCGTAGTGTACGCGCTGGGGTGTACGGTTTAACCATTCCTGGATGTAGGAAGGGCCAGATCCATTCGCAGCATGGTAAGCAAGTACCAGTGTCTTGAAGTGGATTCTAGCAGTTACCGGAAGCCAGTGAAGGGAGCGGAGGAGCGGAGTGGTGTGGGAACATTAGGAAGGTTGAAAACCAGACGAGCCGCTGCATTCTGGGTGAGCTGCAGAGGTCGGATGGCACATGCAGGTAGACCAGCCAGGAGGGAGTTGCAGTAGTCTAGGCGTGAGATGACGAGAGCCTGGACCAGAACCTGAGTCGCTTTCTGAGTCAGCTGGAGACGTATCTTCCTGATGTTGTAAAGCGTGTATCTGCAGCAACGGGTTGTAGCAGCGATGTTTGCAGTGAAGGACAGGTTGTTATCTAGGGTCACACCCAGATTCCTTGCAGTCTGAGTCGGGGAAAAAACTGAGGTGCCGATGTTGATTGTTAGGTCAAGAGTGGGACAATCTTTTCCCGGGAGGAAGAGCAGCTCAGTCTTGTCAAGGTTGAGCTTGAGGTGGTGAGCAGACATCCACTGAGAGATGTCAGCTAGACAAGCAGAGATGCGTGCAACGACCTGGGTCTCTGAGCAGGGAAAGGACAGAATTAATTGGGTGTCGTCAGCGTAGCAGTGGGAAGAAAAACCATGCGGGCTAATGACTGATCCGAGCGAGTTTGTGTACAGGGAGAAGAGGAGGGGACCAAGAACAGAGCCCTGAGGGACCCCCGTAGTAAATTGACAAGGGTCGGACTCAGACCCTCTCCAAGTCACCCTGTAGGTACGATCTTTCAGGTATGAGGTGAGGAGGGAAAGTGCAGAGCCTGAAACGCCAAGTTTTTGGAGAGTGCGAAGGAGGATCTGATGATTCACCGTGTCGAATGCAGCAGACAGGTCCAACAGGATGATGACAGAGGAGAGGGAGGCTGCTTTAGCAGTGTGCAGTTCCTCCGTGACAGCAATGAGAGCAGTTTCTGTGGAGTGACCTGCCTTGAAACCAGACTGGTGCGGATCCAGAAGGTTGTTCTGATTGAGATAACAGGAGAGTTGTTTAAAGACAGCGCGTTCAAGTGATTTAGACAGGAACGGGAGGAGAGAGACAGGCCTGTAGTTCATAACATCAGACGGGTTGAGAGTGGGTTTCTTTAGGAGAGGGTTTACTCTTGCCTCCTTGAGACTGTTTGGAAAGTGACCAGAAGTTAGAGAAGTGTTGATGAAATGGGTGAGAAACGGTAGAATATCAGGAGCGATAGTCTGAAGGAGGTTTGAAGGGATGGGGTCCAGAGGACAGGTGGTAGGGCGGGCAGAGGTAATGAGGGTAATAACCTCACTTGGAGAGAGAGGGGAAAAGGAGGTAAGTGTGTTGGTGGAAGGAGGGTCTGGTGACCCAGCGGTGAGTAGAGGTAATCTCTTCCCATCCTACACTTGTCCGCCGTAACCTTCGCTCCCTCTCTCCCTCTACCTTTGCCTCGTCGGTGCTCTCAGCCCTCCCTTCCTCTGATTCGTTCCAACTACTGCCTCCAAACTCTGCTGCAGAAACTCTCCTCTCTACTCTCTCATCCACTCTGGACTCGCTCTGTCCTCTGACATCTCGGCAGGCTCGTCAGTCCCCTCCGGCTCCCTGGCTAAATGATGCACTGCGTGCTAATAGAACCGTCCTTAGGGCAGCAGAGCGGAAATGGTGGAAATCCAAACACCGTGACGACCTCCTAACCTATCAGGCTCTCCTCTCCTCTTTCTCTGCTTCGATCTCTCAGGCAAAAAGCACTTTCTTTCAAGATAAGATCCAATCTTCCTATTCCAATCCTAAAAAACTATTTTCCATCTTCTCCACCCTCTTGGACCCTCCAAAAGCTCCTCCCCCCCTCCTCACTTCTGTCAAGCGACTTTGTTACCCACTTTGAAAAAAAAGGTTAATGATATTCGCTCTTCTTTTTCTGACTCACCTTTACTCACCGCTGGGTCACCAGACCTTCCTTCCACCAACACACTAACCTCCTTTTCCCCTCTCTCTCCAAGTGAGGTTCTTACCCTCATTACCTCTGCCCGCCCTACCACCTGTCCTCTGGACCCTATCCCTTCAAACCTCCTTCAGACTATCGCTCCTGATATTCTACCGTTTCTCACCCATTTCATCAACACTTCTCTAACTTCTGGTCACTTTCCAAACAGTCTCAAGGAGGCAAGAGTAAACCCTCTCCTAAAGAAACCCACTCTCAACCCGTCTGATGTTATAAACTACAGGCCTGTCTCTCTCCTCCCGTTCCTGTCTAAATCACTTGAACGCGCTGTCTTTAAACAACTCTCCTGTTATCTCCATCAAAACAACCTTCTGGATCCGCACCAGTCTGGTTTCAAGGCAGGTCACTCCACAGAAACTGCTCTCATTGCTGTCACGGAGGAACTGCACACTGCCAAAACTGCATCCCTCTCCTCTGTCATCATCCTGTTGGACCTGTCTGCTGCATTCGACACGGTGAATCATCAGATCCTCCTTCGCACTCTCCAAAAACTTGGAGTTTCTGGCTCTGCACTTTCCCTCCTCACCTCATACCTGAAAGACCGTACCTACAGGGTGACTTGGAGAGGGTCTG